AAAAAAAAAAAGTTTTCATTAGCTGTAATAATTTTCCCTTCAAAGAACATTTATTAAGCACTTACTATTTGCAACAGTATCAGAAATCAATTCACAATAGCTAACTGTCAGCTAATTTAGCACTGGCAATCGATCTCAGAGTAATTGCAGCCCAGCATCTTACCGTCTCATAATTAAGGTCAGCTAATCCCAAGCCCAATTAGGGTGAATAGCAATTCATGTCATTCACATACAGCTTGTACACTAGCTTCAAAGAGGAAAGGTTAGTAAACATTTAATTTGTTTGCAAAGCTGGATTAATATAGTCTTCTATATGTCAGATTTTCCATTGCCTAAAAGTAAGGGAATGACTTTTTATATCAATTAAAACATTTATTCCTTAATTATTGAGGAACAAAATGTGTAAGTTCTCATTTTAATTTCTTCTATTGAAAAATGGAAAGCAAGTGTTTTTTTAAAAAGCAGCATGAGAGCTCCAACATATCCACTAAAATTCTTACCTCTATACTGAAATAACCTCTGTCCACATAGTCACCCAGGAAGAGGTAGCGCGTGTTACTAGGTGATCCTCCAACTTCAAACAACTTCATCAGGTCAAAAAATTGCCCATGAATGTCACCACATACTAAGAAAGAAAGGTCACAGGTTAAAATAAAAATTACTTCTTAGAAGAGCGAGAACAGTACACCAACAGGGTTCAGGTATATTTTTAACTGGAATCACTTAAGCCTTTGACTGGACTGCTCTATAATTTTATTTTCACTCTAACAATACTGAATAGTCCTACTGGAACTATCATACATTTTACATTGTATTTGTTCAATGAACAGCAAATAGACTAAATAATCTAAAGACTGTCTCATAATTCCTACAAAAAATATCACTCATTTTAGTTAGTTATTTGTAGTCATTTCTCAAATTAGCTCAAGTCTAAGGGTCACCAAGCAAATGCTTCCTACCAGTGATGGGCGCATCTACTTCTATCATGGTCTTCTCTTGTCTCAGGATGGCAGCTCCATCATTGATTATCTTTAAGGCTACTTCCTCTTCTAGTCTCCCTTCCTTCACCAAATGGTTTTTCAAAACATCAATTTTAGGTTTCCCATTCTCAAATACTTCTTTCAAAGTAAGCCGTTGGGTTGGAGGAAAGGGGACAGCTGGAAAGAAAAAAACTATGTAAATGTATAGAGAAAAAACATGAACACATAGTAAATTAGACCTAATAGATGCCCGTGACAGCACAGCCACAGCACCAGAGTCTGGGCGGATACTATATAAATGATAAATTCCAGTTTTTAAAAAGGCCTCAGTTAAAGTCAAAGTTATTGAAAAGGTATAGGTGTATGAGAGACTATATTTACATTTAAACATTAAAGACATGAAGTTGATTCAGCACATAAGCTGTAAGTGACACAAGGAACTAGATAATGTACTGTGGAAACGGTTTTAAAGATGGTTAAAGAAAATGAAGGAAAACAAACCTCCACACTAAAAGGGCTTTCATTTCTTCCCAAACACGTATCTAATATAATCATGTTCTGGAGGTTTAACCTCAGTCCCTGATCAGGAGAATCACACATGTCTGCTTTATTTTTAAAGGTCAGTTGCTTCAAGCATTGCTGATAAAAAGAATATCATGGATACACTTTTCCTGAAAATAATTTGTCATAATAATGCAGCATAAACTTGAGCAGATATGGGAGCTCTAGATGTTTTTTAGAATCTGGAAATGGTAACAACCATCTCTGGTTGACACTGAATATAGATTACATAATACCATAGTGATTTAGCAACTCCAAAAGAAAAAATTTTGACAGGTTATCCTCTCCCCATTTACCTAATGTAAAATGTACTCTACATTACCTGCGACTTAGTATCATAGTGGATAAACCATAGGTTCAAGAGAGAAGGGTTTGTTCTAGTCTATATTTTTATATCTGGTGGTTCCTCTTCTACCTTAACATGTTATTAAGAACTGAGCTGAGGCCCTCCCTGGTGGTGCAGAGGGTTAAAGCACAGCACTAAGATGCTAAAGCCACTTCCACATGAGTTCGATCCCCATGGGCCCGGAGGTGATCCACATGGCACAGCAGACCTCTCCTGACCCGCCTGCTGCTCCCCTCAGCAGTGCACTTCATGGATCTGCCTGTTCTGCTCCTCACTCTGTCTCTGGTGAATCCTCTCACTGCCCCTACATCTCTGGCCTGTACCCCAGTTCTGTATGCACAAATAAA